TGCAGAAAGTTGATGTTATTTCTGCCAAATTTCTTGCAGAAAGTCGATGTTATTTCTGTCCAACTTCGTGCAAAAAGTCGAGTATTTCTGTTAAATTTCTCACAGAAAGTCGACTCAGTTTCTGCCAAATTTTTAGCTCTCCCGCACTCCCAAAAACAATCGGGAACCCTGATCGACATTTTTATTTTTGAAATCGAAAATAGTTTAGTGATACTTTTTGATTCTTGTTAGGTACAGCATTAAAAATTCTTTTTGCTGAAAATCCAATACAATTACAACGTTCAGAACTTGTTTCACTTATTAATGGTTTTACTCAATTATCTACGAGTATTTATCGACTTGAACATACATTTAAAACGTGTCTAAAAACGAAGACTGAGCTATGAGGAAAAAAAATTTAACAACAAAAAAATTCGAAAGTACGGTTGAAAATGTAATTTTGGACACACTTGCAATCTTGGTTTTTGAATTTTACAAGGGTGTCATAGGTGCATTTCATCGTTCTTTCTTGTTTTTTTTTGTTATTAATTATTTTTTCATGACTAGAGAATTTGAACTACGATTTATTTTTGCTCGCTTGGCAATGTCCTAGTCCGTTATAAATATTTAAATGTTGGTGATTACTATCAAAATTAAAGAAAAAAAAAAAGTTAAAAAATTATATAGATATTTTTTTAATAGCAGTCGACGTATTTGATCTTGTTATGTTTTATTTGGTAGATATTCTAAAAATTCTGATGTTTCTTTTCTTTTTTTGTTGTTGTCTTTGTTTTTTTTTCTTTTTTTTGTTGTTGTATTTGTTTTTTTTTTTCCTTTTTTTTTTTGTTGTTTTTTGTTATGTAGGACTAAATTTGAATGATATAACGATTTTTTTTCTTTAGCGCTCAAATATGAATAATCAACATGATTTATATGTCTATTTTCAGATGGCTACTAGTGTTAGTCCTGCATCATCGCCGTCAAGCACTCCAACGAATTCGAGTAATCTTTCAAGTTTTATACCATGTCCACATACATTTGTTGCTACAAGAGTTAAACAAAATCATACATACGATGGTACCTTTTCGGACACTCATCAACGACCAATTGTTCCGCGTGTATGTCGTCTACGAACAAATAATAATACCATGGCTATCTATGCACTTGTTGATCCAATGGATACAAATATGATTGCATCTGATGTTTGTGTTAATATGCTTGTTGAACAATTAAGTCAAATATCATTCGAAGATGAATCATATAAAAAGAAAATTAGTGATAGTATGCAACAAATTTTTTATGAAACAGAAAATCGTCTATTACAAATGACATTTGACCATGCAGAAGAAAAAGCAACATTAACACCAACAATTGATGCTACTGCTGAAAAATGTTTACCTTCATTAGATGAAGCTCAATCTGGTGCTTTTTTATTTGCTGCTACTGTTACACAATCAAATGTTTACGTTGCATATGTTGGTTAGTAAAATTAATAGAAAATTTTTTTCTGTTTTTTTTTGTCTTTAATGTATAATTATTTTTATATCATAGGAACTATTCGAGCTTTTCTTATAACGAATAATAATGGTGAGTTACGTATATCTAATAATCGACCACAATATTACCATAATGGTTCATTACATACAATTGATAATGAGGATGAAAGTCTTCGATTAAGAAATCTTAATGTTAATCTTACACAAGTAAGAAATGAAGGTTTAGATAATAATCATTCGAAATTTACTCGATGCATTGGGTAAGAACTTGGTCTTTGGTTTTTTTTATGTCTCTAATATTTGTATTTATATTTATTATTTTATAGAAAATTATCTGAAAAATTACTTTCATCAGCAGCATCAGCTAATGATGTTAATGAAGCACGATGTAATGCACTTGTATGTGAACCAAGATTGGAAAAATTTCGAATCAGTCCTCAAGATTATGCACTTGTTATGATGACTGATAAACTCTATGAAATGTATTTAAAAACAGGTATTTATTTATTTATTCATATAAATAAAAAAAATTTCAAATTTAATTTTGTTTAAGGTATTTCTGAAGAAGAAATTCCAACTGATTTTATTGCTCTTCTTTATGAATCTATAAAGACAGTCAATCCAGCACAACGTATTCTTACTACAATTGAAGAGCGATTACAAAAAATGAATGATTGTATTAACGAAGACATTGCTCTTCAAGATATGGGTTTACTTATTCATTTTTTTCATCAACCAAAAAATATAAATCAAAATCCTCAATTATCAATTAAACCAAATACAATACGACGAATTGTTGATGGTGAAGTAACTGTTGATGAAGTCAAAAATTTTATTATCAAACATAATGAAATACAACAAAAACGAGAAAAAAATCGTAATGCATCAAGAACTACTGGACATAAGCGTGAAAATCAAACACATTCCAGTACAATTGAACCATTTGTTCGATTTGATGTTTATGAAAAATTATTAAATGATAATGAAGAATTACGTCAAGCAGACAAATTTATTACTGATCTTCTTTATACTCAATCGACATCTGCTATGGATGAGAAATTAACAGAATTTTTAAAAGAACATCCAACTTTAAAATGTGATTGAATATTTTTTTTTTTTGTTTAATATTTGAAAACATCTTGTTTTTATTTTCGATGTAAATTAATAGTTTTTGTTTGATTTTTTTTTCTTTTCAATATTTTATTTCAGATGTATTCTACATCTCATAATTGATAATGCGTGTTCAAGTTTTAACAGATAATATCTGGTCAATTACATTATTTTGTTCATTTGTAACAGGATTTATTATTATTGCTTCTTGTGTAACAAAACGTCGTCGTCGTTATTTTCGTCATCATCGTCTTGTTGATGACGTACATCATTTATGGCCATTTGATGAATATCTTATACAACCAACTTTATGTAATGTTTGTTCATCAACTTTATTAACTGGTTTTCAGTGTTCATCATGTGGAATTTATTTACATGAACGTTGTATACGTCCTGCTCGACGTCTTTTTCATTGTAAACATATGACAAGCGAACAAGAACAAATACAACATCAATGGACTCGTGGTAATTTACCATTAGATTCGGAATGTATTATTTGTCGACGATCATGTGGAGCTGAACCAAGATTATGTGATTATCGATGTATATGGTGTCAACGTATTGTACATGATTCATGCATGAGAGCATTACCTATTGAATGTGATTTTGGTGAATATCGACGTTTAATTATACCTGTAAGTATTTTATGTCATAATATTTTGAATATATGATCTTTCTATTATTATTTATTAGCCTAATGCTGTTGTTTCACGTACGGGAAATAAAAAACTTGTCGGATATGCTCATTCAGTAGTCGAACGTATTTTACCATGTGGTATTGATGATTGGTGTCCATTACTTGTTATTGGTAATCGAAAATCAGGTGGAGCTAATACAGATCTTGTTCTAAATTCCTTTCGAACTTATTTAAATTCTGTACAAGTAAAAATATATTTTTATTATTTATATTTTGATTATTTTATGTAATATTTTAGGTTATTGATATTTCAACAATTTCACCATCTTCAATTCTTGAATGGTGTAATTCACTTCCAGATATTGGATTTTATATTCTTGTATGTGGTGGTGATGGAACAGTTAATTGGATTTTAGAAAGTATTGAAAATACAACATCAGGTGTAAGTATATGTACTTGAATTCACATAAGAAAACTATTATTATTATTATTATTTTTTTTTTTATTAGATAAAACCTGCTGTTGGTATTCTTCCAATGGGTACAGGTAATGATTTAGCTCGTATTTTACAATGGGGTTATGGAGAAGATTCTGCTGTTGATGTTAGTACTTATTTAAAAAAATTAATGGCTGCTAAAGTTGTGGCTCTTGATCGGTAAGATCTTTTTTTTTCTCATACTAATAATTCATAAAAATAATTTTCTTTTTTCGTTGATAAGATGGTCAGTAGATATTTGTGCTAATGCTCGACATTTTGGTGTAGCAACAGCTAGTGCACGTGTATGTCTTTTATTATTATTATTATTATGAAATAGTTTTATTATCGAGTTTTTATTTTTTTTATAGCATATGCGTATGTCAAATTATTTTTCAGTTGGTTGTGATGCATTGGTTACACTCAATTTCCATCGTCGTCGCGATAAAATACCAGAATTTTTTGCTAGTCGTTTTGTTAATAAACTACATTATTTTCATTATGGAACAGTCGACACTTTTTTTGAGTATGTTTGTTTGTTTGTTTTCGTATATATAAAGTTTACGAATATAATTGTTTTTTTATTATAGAGGAATGCAAAGATCTGCAAAATAATGTTATTGTATGTAGTTCTATAATATTTTGATGATAATTTAATTAATGATTATATTAAATATTTCTAGCTTGAAATGGATGGACGAATTGTTGAAAATCTTCCAGCATTAGAAGGTATTTGTATATTAAACATTCCATCATGGGGCGCAGGTGTTCGTGTTTGGGGAGCAGGTGAAAATATTCCTGTACAACAGTAAATTAATATAATAATGTTCATTTGATAATTGTTTATTATTGAGTTTTTCTTTTTTTTTTTAGAATTGATGATGGTTTTGTTGAAGTTTTTGGAATTTATAGTTCATTTCATATAGCACAAATGCAAGTTGGTCTTGCTGATCCATTCCGCATAGGACAAGCTCGTCGAGTTAAAGTAAATTTATATTATATTTTCTAATATATATGGGGTTGGCCAATCTGACCGGATACCCCAAATTTGCTTTCATTCTATTATCAGTTAATAGCCTAATCATATTCGAGTCAAATTAATGCTCTCATCACTAATCTGCTAAATTTAAAATATTAGTTGTTGATAGCTGTCTTATAACGAAATTATTCAATCCCTTAAAGACGATAGGAGATAGTTTCAGGGACAGAATAATTTCGTTATAAGACAACCATCAACAACTAATATTTTAAATTCAGTAGTTTAGTGATAAGAGCGATAATTTGACCCGAATATGGTTAGGTTATTAACTGATAATAAAACGAAAGCAAATTGGTAGTATCCGGTCAAACTGGCTAACCGTATATATATTATTAATTTTTAAATCTTTTATTTAGTTAACACTTAAACGTCGTTTTCCTTGTCAATGTGATGGAGAACCATTTGAAGAAGGTCCATGCGTTGTAGATATTGAACATTTTTCCCAAGCGAGAATGTTAATGAATATTGATATCAAATGATTTATCTTTTCGACCATCTGTTCCGGTGAAAAAAAAAACTTTTGTTTCTATTGTTATATAACAACGTACTTAACAGAATGAAAATTGTTTACAAAAAAAAAAATATTCTGATTTTTCTCTACTCTTATTATTTTATCAGATAGTGTGTGTGTGTGCATCTGTTGTGTATTTGTATTTAGACAATAACCAAGATATTTTATCTTCATGGACATTTGTGTTTTTTTCTTCTGCGTATTTGACATTTTCGTTGTTTTTTTTTCCTTCTATGTTAAAATAATAATGTCAGTAATTTTTTTTTGATATGGTATAGAACAAAGAAAAGAACGGCGTGCGAAGATTTTTCTTCTATGTACTTGAAGGCAAAGAGACAATGCTTAGCAAGAATAATAGTACAGAATGAATGAATACAATGCACTAAAAGAGAGAAAGGGTAATTTTGAGACTATTATGTAGATAATATTTACTTTTGCTATATGCCACATTAAAATAAAAGCATTACATAGATTTTCATTTTCGAAAAAGAAAAAAAAAACTTTTAAATTATCGTTTGTTTGTATTTTCAATCAAGTAAAAGACAATGAATGAAACAGACATTAAACCACCGAAATCAGGTAGATAATAATTATGAATATTTTTATTTTGAATGATAGCTCTGGTTTTCTTTTTGTTCGAAATATTTCCAGTCTCTTTTTGGTTTTCAATTCGTGTTGCAGTGGCTTTTGTTGGATTTCTTGGTATGGTTGCACATTATTCACAAAAGATTAGTATTGGTATTGCTCTTGTTTGTATGGTTAATCATTCAGCGATTGAACAACCGAAAACTTCTATTGCTATGCCTCTTACACAGGCTGATATTGATTGTCCTCGTCTGGATAATACTGCTCCAATTGTAAATCGTAGAAAAAAAAAAGAATTTTTATTATGTTCTTTTCTAATATGTTTATAGGAAGGTCCTTATCCTTGGACAAAAAATATTCAAGGTATTGTCTTAGGTGGATATTTTTGGGGATATTTAATTACTGAAATACCTGGTGGATATTGGGCTGCTCGATATGGTGCTCGACTTATATTTGGCGGAGCTATGATTCTAGCTGGTATTTTTTCAATAGCTATTCCTTGGGGTGCTAGTTTACATTGGGGTGTAGTATGGTTTTTACGATTAGTTGTTGGATTTGCACATGGTATTATATGGCCTTGTATGGCTGCTATTATGTCACGTTGGGCACCACCTAATGAAAGAGGAAAACTTATTGGTTTTATGAATGCTGGTAAATTACATTCGTTCTTATTTTGTTTGTTATTTTTTATTTTATGTTTAGGTGCTCAAATTGGTAATGTTATAACATTATCTATTGGTGGTCTTATGTGTTCATGGAGTTTTGTTGGTGGTTGGCCATTAATTTTTTATTCTACAGGTATATTGGGTCTTATTTGGGGTATTTTTTGGATTTTCTTCTATACGGATTCACCAAGTGATCAACGTTGTATTAGTAATCAAGAAAAAAATTATATATTAGATTCTACACAAGAACAATCATCACATCATGATCAAAATGAATTTCAAGCTCCATGGAAACAAATTTTAACATCGCCTGTTTGTTGGGCACTTTTTATTATACATACATGTAATAATTGGGGTACATACACATTTCTTACATCGATTCCAAAATATATGTCTGAAGTATTAAAATTTGATATTAAATCAGTATGTAAATAAATGAATATAACGCATAGGGCAAAAGTTCTGCATTAATTTTGTTTTTGATATAGAGTACCGTAATAGAATGTCGTAGAGATTTCATCTTTTTCTCTTCTGTTAAAAAGAGCAAAGTGTCTAGTGCAAAAATGTTCAAAAGAATTTGATTGAAAATGTTTTTTTTTAGAGGTCACAGAAACTTTAGAACGAAAAGCATCGAAAAAAGATTCCGTAACTTTGGTGAGAATTTTTTTATCCGAAAAAATTTTTTTTTCAACTTTTTCTTTATCACTATACAGTGTTTTCAAGAATCGTATATATACAGTTGTTTATTACAAAGAATGTTTTCATGTACTATTAAAATAATTCATTCAACATATAAGAAAACAAACAGAGGAATATTTCATTAAAAAAAGACAATCAATTTAGCGAATTTGTAGTTTACAACGTGAAAACAAATATTTAGCTGGATATCTCACACAAAAAAATCTGTGTCCTGTTTCAAATATTATCGTGAGATAGAGGTCCCATTATGCTTTGTTTTTCATATAAAATATATAGTTTCTAACAATCGATTTGTCGGAATAGAATTTATTTTTTCGACTGTGATCAGGGGTGGCACTTTTCTTTCGGAAAGAAAAGAAAAACTATAAGATAGGATGAAGGATAAGTTTTAAAAGTTTTCATATATATATGATCTGTTTAACAAGTGAGGTTCTTAGGAGACATATCCTTGACATTTTCACATTATTTCCTTATTGTTTCTCGATTTTCTCTCTCGTTCGTCGCATTTTTTACTTTCTAGACTATCATTGACATTCTGTTATTCTATTCATCTGATCTGACATCCTGTCCTATATTTCTAGAACTGTCTCTCTGCCTACTTCATGATCCTCAAATGAATTTCTATTGATATGTAAGTTAGAGAAAAATCAGTCATATCTTAGATTCATGATGAGAATATATTCTCGATAATATTACGTACATCTCACTGTCACCAACAAATACTTTTCAAGATAACTATCAATTTCTTTTCGTTCATAGTTGATATACCGTAGAGGAAATCACAATTGATGACTTTCCATGGAGCTTTGGTCTCAAATGTTGATTTTTGCTTGTTCATGTATTTTTTTAGTAAGTAGAAAAGCGAATCGACGATGAAAATAAACTCCACAGCATTATTTAATGAATATCAAGAGTTCAATATTTTATCATTTTACGCTCTTTCTCAAATCTTAGCCCAAAAAGAAGAATAGATACTTGAATTTTAAATGCAATTAATGTCCTTTTCAAGATAGAATGTGTGCCTGAAGAAGTTGAGTAGCTTCAGAGAGTAAACAGCTAAGGATCTGTGATTTTCATCACTCGGAACGTGGGCAATGCCGATCTATACCAAAGTCAAAAATTTGAGAGATAATCCTATGGGATTTCTATGAAGATCTGTGATGAACCACTTCCCCATCAGGAAGGTTTATTACATTTTCGCTCCAACTTTATTTATCTTATAAGGCCATGACAGCAGTAGATTATTTTGCTTTTCTATTTGCGTAGTGAATCTCAGGCCTTGAAGCCACTGAAAACCTCATGCATTTTCTAACTTCAATCAACTTGGATTTTTAGAAAAACTTAGGTTTTCGTTCATGCTGAGTCTCGTATCTGCTTTTCAATGTGATGATTATGAGTCATCAAGTTCACAACTAAGTGAGCTTGAGTCTACAAGATATTAGAAACCCAAACCTACGTATGGAAAAAATAACTTTATTTTTTATATGTTCTAAGAACACCTATTGATCTTTAAGTGTCAGGTGGGAAATTTTTGACTTATGATTTGCACATTGAAAGAGTTAAACTGAAGATATAATAAAGCTTCTTGATCGTGAAGATGGTTTGCCGAACATCCTAGCAGAAATTCCTTAGGATTACCTGTCAAATTTTTGAATTTGGCATAGATTGTCATCCAGTGCCCACCTTTGTGTAGTGAAAGTCACAGACGGTTAGCTGTTTGCGTTCTTGAACTGTTCAATTTCTTCGCACATATTCTATTTTAAAAACGACATTACAAACTCGTACATATGTCACAGTTTTCTAGCTGTATACATTTGTTTTCTGGACGATTGGAGAAACACGATAGTCAGACTGATTGTATACTATATACCTTATGTATGATCACATTAAATTTTGTTTAAACTTTTTAAAAATTGCTTAATTAGCTGAAAATTTAATGAAACTGATAGGAAACAATTGATAGAAAAGAAAAGAAAAATTTTCACTCTAATTCATCTCTTTTGTTGACAAACATCAAAATCTTGTTTGAGATCTGAACTAAAGCAATGCGTAGTATTTTTTTTTCTTGCCATCAGAAAGAATGAGAAACCCTTTGAAGTTAATCGTGATGCAATGAAACACCGTGCACAGGTGGAAAAGATTAGTGAAATCCTGAAAAAAAAAACAAGGTTAGAACACCAATAGTAAGAATATGACTTCAAGGTGAAGGGAAGGGGGAACAACAAGGAAACCAAGGCCCATTAGAGTTGCTCATATTAAAATGATTGCATATTCTCCCTGTTATCAACAATACGTATACTGTAAATTTCTAACAATATGAAAGATTTCAATGTTTCTTTCCTAGAAAAAGGAAAGCAAAAACTTTCCTTTCCTTTCCTTTCTGAAAGCAAAAGAAAAGTGAAAGTATCAACCCTACTAGACACTTTGCTCTTTCTAACAAAAAAAAAAAAGACAAAATCTCTACGACATTCTATTACAGTATTCTATATCAAAAACAAAATTAATGCAGAGCTTTTGTTCCACCCGTTAATTGAAATAAAATGATATCACTTTTTTTTTTTGATTCATATAGAATGGAGTCCTTTCATCGCTACCATATCTTATGTTCTGGCTTAATATAAATATATCTGGTGCAGTAGCTGATAGACTCATTCAAAAAGAGACTTTAACAACAACGCAAACAAGAAAATTATTTAATGTATTAGGAAATTTACTTCCAGCAATATTCGTCATTGGATTAGCATTTATGACATGTAAAATTAAATATGTTGCTGTAGTTTTATTAACAATTGGTGTTACTTTTACGTAAATATATTCTATTGAATTATTTTTCTATTTTCTTTTTTTCTTTTTCATTGAATATAGTGGATGTTGTTATGGTGGTGGATTTTTGCTTACAGCAAATGATATTGCTCCACCTTATGCAGGAATTATCTTTGGTATTTCAAATACATTTGCTACATTACCAGGTATTATAAGTCCATATGTTGTTGGTGCTCTTACAGGAAAAGTTAGTATTTAATATTTGTTATTTATATATATATATAAGTATTCTATTAATATATCTCTGCATAGGATCCAAACAATTGGCGTTATGTCTTTTTCATTTGTGCAGCTATCTATATTATTGGTATGGTTGTATTCTTATTCATTGGATCAGGTGAAGTACAACCATGGGCACAAAAACGTCCTACTAAACCAGAAGAAATACCTCTATCGGGTATTGTTTATTTTTTAAAGTTATTCATATTTAATACATATTTTCTTTTAGAACCCACTGGTATCTTAATAACAAAAGAGTGAAATGAACAATAGTTTTGTTTTTTATTTCTTTTTTTTTTGTGTTAGTTCAACTGATAGTACTTTTTTTCTTTTTTGATCAATGCATGTGTTGTGAACATTGAAATTTTAGATGTAGTAATGCTTTTTTTGTCCAAAATTTTATAATATTATCATTGAATTCATGTCGTTTTTGTTTTTTACTTTTTAAATGAAACGTATCTATGAACTTCGATTTCTGAGATATCGATTGAAATATTTTATCTTTTATTCTCATTTTGTTCGATATAATTTCATGATTACTAGCTGTTGGACTTGGTTGAAGAATAAATGATGAATTAACACTAGAAATAATGTCATTTTTTGAACATTGTATTTCACTAGCCATTGGTAATACTGCACGACAAGTATAAGTGGATGGAACTTGTAAATCAAATTGAATATTCGATGAATATGATGATATTGATTCATGATTACGTAATTGTTCAAGTTCTAGATGCCAAAGTTCTTCAACAGATATTTTAAGCATATATAATGCAAGTTGAAATTCTTTATAATGTTTAGATATTTTATTCAATGACTGAACTGATGATTGTTGTCTAAGAGGTAATTTAAGATCTGATGGAGAAATCTGATTGTTTGGTAGTATTGTCTCATTTATTTGATTAGAGAATAGACTCGGATGTATATTGATCGTATTCTTTTTTATGTTCATGTGAATATTAATAATAAAAAGTTTTTAAAAAAAGGGGACACAACTCGTTTATTGAGTAGAAAGAAAATTAAATTATGCGCAAAAAAAACTCGATTTTTGCTGTTTCAAATGATATAGTAATCTATCATAAATTGTAATTTCGTTTTTGATTAAGAATAAATTATCAATATATTTATTAGATTGATTCTTTGTCATATTATGTTCTATGAATTGTTTCTTTCATGAATTTGAAGAACTATAGAGTGCCATCTATCTTTTAAACACATTAAAAATTATAATATTAGTATGATTTTTTTAAAGCAAATAAAAACTTACTAAGAAATAATTGTTTTTTTTGTTAAATAATCTTTATTGAAAAGTGTTATGTACAAGTAAGGAGGACGCTTCCTAATAGTAGTTATCTCGAAGATGAGTCATACATGTTCGATATTCATTAACAATCCAATGTGCTATCTATCGTATCGTTGTTTGTATGTATGTAGATCAAATGTTGTATTGAAGTCAAGGTTCTTGAAAATGAATTTATTTTATGAAACATTTATCGAGAACAACAATATAATTTCTATGATAATAAATAATTTGTTATTATTATTTCAGTTCTAGAATTCATGACATTTTCCAACATATCGATCATTTGAGAAGAATCTAGAATTGTTCTGAATAGATGGCGTTATAAACATTTCATTTACATTCATTTTTTAGATTTATTGGAGCATACACATACACAAATGTCTAAATCGATTCCAGCCGATCATGTACGTCTTCTTCGACAATTTGTTACATTATGTGATGCTCAACCTGAAATGCTTCTAGCACCTGAACTTGAATTCTTTCGACAATGGCTTGCTAAGTAATTATTATTTTTTGATTCTTCAATATAGAATTTTATATTTTAAATAATTAATATATATATATATATATATATAGATTAGGAGCAATAATTCCAAATGATTTAAGTCATCAACATGATCATACTTCAGAATCGAAAACCGAAGAAAAGGAAACAACTCATGCTGATCATGAAAGTACTTCATCATCAAAAAGTCATGAAGAACCACCAAAAGTTGAAAGTGAACCAGAAAGTGAATTGGGTAAATTCATATTTTCTATTTGTTTTTTTTTTGTTTACTTATATTTATTTATATAGAATTGGATACAACTGGTGTAATTGAAGGTGATCATGATGCGCCACAATCAATGGGTGATCCTAATATTGAAGTATAATATTCATTATAAATCATTTGAAATATTTATCATTATCTATTTTAAATAGGTAACAGATGCCATGTTAGAACAAGCTGATGTCAAACGTGGTGAAGCACAAGCAAAACTTTCTGAAGGTGCTATTGAAGAAGCAATTTCTTTATTTACACAAGCTATTGAAAATAATCCACAATCGGCTATTCTTCATGCTAAACGTGCACAATGTTATATTAAACTTCAAAAGCCGAATGCAGCTATACGTGATTGTGATCGTGCTTTAGAACTTAATGAAAATTCACAGCAAGCACTAAAATGGAGAGGAAAAGCTAATCGGTAGGCACAAAAAAATAAAAACATGAAAGGTTTTTTTATGTAAAATTTTTGTTGTTCAGTATGTTGGGCAATTGGGAAGCAGCTTACAAAGATTTTTGTAAAGCACAATTGTCTGATTTTGATGAGGATGTTCAAACATGGTGCAAAGAAGTTGAAGCAAATGTACATTTTTTTTTCTTTTCTTCTTGATCTATTGTCATTTTTTTTTAATCCACCTAGGCTAAAAAACTTGTTGAACATAAACGTAAATATGAACGACGTCGAGAAACAAAAGAAGCTGATGCTAAACGAGAACGTATTCGTAAAGCTCAAGAAGCTTATGCTAAAGCACAACAAGAAGAAAATGAACGACGAGCACGAGAACAACAAGCACGCTCTGCAGGTGGTCAACAATTTCCAGGATTCCCAGGTGACTTTAGGAAATTATTAATTATGTTAGATAGTTTAGAGATATTTTTATATAGGAGGAATGGGAGGAATGCCAGGGATGGGAGGGATGCCAGGGATGGGAGGAATGCCAGGCATGGGTGGAATGCCAGGCATGGGTGGAATGGGTGGTGGAGCTGATTTAGGAGGTTTAGGAGCTGTTATGAATGATCCAGAAATATTGGAAGCATTACAAGATCCCGAAGTACAACAGGCCTTCTCGGTAAGTTGTATGTACTTGTCTTTTGTTTTTGTTTTGTTATTACATTAATTAATTTACTATGATCCATATTTGTAGAAAAAAAATGCATGCAAGAATACTTAGTATCAATAGATGTTCATTTCTATTATCATTCTCGAAGTGTAAAATTCCAAATAAGAGATAGTTTTTGAGTCGTGAAATTTGAATATGTTTTGTATTGATTTAATTGCATATATTAGCAAATCAGTTTATTAAAGATAATGTTTATTTTAGGAAGTTAGTGCCGATCCTTCAAAATTAGCTGCACATCAGAGCAACCCCAAGGTACGTAAAGTCATGGAAAAACTGGCTAGCAAGTTTGGTGGCGCTGGCGGGCCGATGGGTGGTGGTTTTCCTAATTTTCCAGGTTTGTTCTTTTTTTTTTGTTTTTGTTGTATACTTTACATTATTTTATGATTATAGGCGGAATGGGTGGCGGAGCCGATGCCGATGCCAATGATCTCGATTGATTTGCTTCATTGTCCAACGTCATTTGAAGAACGTGTTGTTTTCTTTTCGTTTTTTTTTATCGCTTTCTTTTTTTTTTTTGGTCGATCAACTTTGAAGATAGTCTTGCTTGAGTCATTATCGCAGCACTTTCTTTTCTTTTCTGCGTTTTTTTTTAAATAGAATCAAAATACATGAGTTTACAAAAGTTGATTTCAAATAAAACTTATGACCAGACATACGCGCACACAAAGAAACCAATTTTTAAAATTTTCACATAGATTATATCAAGATCACGTTCGATCTAGAGGGAATATTCATTAATGAAATCAATTCAATTAAGTTATGTATTATATCTATTGAAGTTTTTTAACAACATATATATTTGTAAAGCACTTCAAAGAAAATAATTTTTAGATGTTCGCTATACACTTGTTCAAGACAGATGAAACCTTGTAGTTGACATCATTATCATCATCACTTGTGATCTACAGAAACAAATCAATCTTTTAATTGAAAATATTTTCTGATTGCTAACTAATTAGTGAATTGTTTGGTGAAACTTAGTATTTGTTCTAAATATACATATCTATATCATTTTATTTTATTGAATAGAAATTTTTATGTGACTATCAAGGAGTTCAAAATCAGCTTTTTTTCACATATGAATTTTTTTGGGCTTTTCTTTACATCGATATTTTTCGAATTATCTTCATTATTTTATGTAGATGTATTTGTTTGATTCGCTTTCTTATGTATATACACAAAAATAAATAAATAAAAATGATTCTTCTTCTATTTAGATTTGAGAAAGAGAAGTTTTCTTTTAAAAGTCATATGACTTTTCGCACTATGAAGTTACTGGCCCAGTAATGAATTATATTAAGTAGTGGTTGCAGAGAAAAAAAAAAGAAGAGAAATTTTAACTTCTTTCTCTACAAAACTGAATACTTTTCGAATGTAAAAACTTTTTTGATGCTCCTAGAAAGATAATTGATACTAACAATAATAATCAAGCATTTTGTATAATGTATTGCACATAAAAAAAAGAAAAAATGCGCGGAATTATTTTTGATTTCAGTGTGTGTGTGTGTGTGTGTGTATTTTCTATTTATTTCATTGTATTAATGTCGACAACTGATCTAATTGATACAGTTGAACTTTCGGAAAATGTATCAATCGATAATGAACAAGATCAATCTATGGATCATAATGAAGAAGAACAGACACAACAAGAACAACATCAATTTGATGTGATTGTTATTGGTTCAGGACCAGGAGGTGGGTACGTGCAATAATAAATAAATACATTCTTTTTATTACTATGAAATAATGTTCATCTATTATTTGTATCAGGTTATACGAGTGCTATTCGATGTGCACAACTTGGTAAATCAGTAGCAATAATTGAACGTGATCTTCTAGGTGGTCATGCTGTAAATTGGGGTTGTATTCCACTTAATGCAATGATAGCGTCTGCTCGTTTTATTCGTTTAATTCATGAATCAGTTCGATATGGTATTAATATATCATCACATCGTATTGATTATTTACGTATTGCTCGTCATCGTGATGAAGTAGTTAAGAAAGCTCGTTCTCAAATTAAAAAATTCTTAGAAAAGTAATCCTTTTGTTTTGTTCATCATTTCTAGAATATCATTATTTAATAAATATTTATTCTCATTTAAATTAAGATATCATATTCAAGTATATACTGGTGTTGCTAATATTATTGATAAAAATCATATAATAATAAAACCAATTCAAAAGTATACTTATATTAATGTATATGATGCTGATGGTCGAAATCCTTATGAAACGGATGATTATATACCAATTAGAGCTGATATTGAAATTAGTGGCAAAAATATTATTGTAAATTTAAAAAACAAAAATAATTTCATATTTTTGAATTTTTCTTTCTCAGATTGCATCAGGTATTGAATATAACTTTCCTAATTTTGTTGAAACAAATGATACAAAAACAATAGATCCTACTCAACTTCTTTGGCATAAAAATATACCTGATTCATTGATTATTATCGGCGGAGTATTTGCTTTCGACAAAAAAAAAAAAATTAAAATAATACTTTTTTTTTTTGACAGGGTGTATTAGGTTGTGAATTTGCTTCTCTCTATCGTCATCTACGTTCAAATATTATTTTAATAGAAAAAAATTCAAGATTACTTAAATTTATGGATGAACAAGTATCATTTGCAGTTGAAACACATCTTAAAGATATCGGTGTTGAAATTATTCTAAATGCTTACGTTGAACGAGTATCAAAAGGTGAAGTCATCATACAATTACAACAAACAAATACGAAACGTACTCTCCTTAGTAGTCTTGTTGTTATATGTACTGGTCGAAAATCAACATTTGATTATGAAAATTTACAAAATCTTGGTATTAATATTGATCAAGAACATTCAACTATTATTATTAATGAAAATACTTGTCAAACATCAATACCAACTATTTATGCATGCGGTGGAGTAGTATCATCTTGTTGGTCTTGGGTATGTGAGAGAAAGAAAAGAGCAAGATATGATTTTTTTTTTTTCAAAACAAAAAATAGATTCCTTGTGTTATACACCAAGGATATTTAGCAGCAAATAGAATATCCGAATATGAAGATAATAGTAAATCTTATATTCCGATTAATCTAGTTACACCTTTTGTTATTAATGTCATTCCGGCAGTTGCTAGTGTTGGTGAAGTACCAAAATTAACTGATGATGTACTTATTTATACATTTAAATTTCAATCGAATCAAAGAGCAATTATTGATAATCAAACATGGGGTTTTATTAAAATGTGGACAACACGTGAAGAACCAAAGAAATTTCTAGCTGTTCAACTTGTACATGAAGCAGCAGCAGAAATTATTGAATATTATAGTATGATTATTTCGTTGAGTAAGTAATTAATAAATAATTTATCATAATAAAATCTATATTTAGATATTCCTCTACGTGAAATATGTCTTCTTCCATTTGCTCATCCAACTTATACGGAAAGTGTAAAAGAAGCATGTGAATATGTACTTGGTCAATCAATGAATTACGAAGGCACTTATTTGAATTAATTACAAAATAAATATTTAATTATCTTTTTGTAATTTTATTAGATTTTTTTGTTTCGATGAATAAAAAAAACAGATTAATGAAAACACAATGTTTTCCTACATGAAAGAAATAAGACAACAAAAGTGTTTTGTATATATATATGTGTGTGTGTGTATATAGGTAAATGAGAGAACATGAATTATAAAAACGAAAAAATCGAGAAGAAAATAGAGAAACATTTGAATAACAACATGAATAAAAATATCCGTATATATACACACACACACACATACATATCAATAATTCATTTTTGATATCTACTACATGAAATAAAGACCTTCGTTTTCATTTTACGAAAAAAGGCATAACAATACATATATATATGTATAGAAAGATGAAATAACAAGAAAAAAATATCATTAATTGAAGTATTTCAGTCTCTCAAAAATATATGTATCCCTATTAAATCTAAATTAAGAAGATTAATAAACAAGAAAAAAAAACAAAAGAGAAGACAACAATATTCGATATAAGTTTATTTATTATCATCCGATTATATAGAAGATGGTAAAAAACACAAAACTTGATGATAATGTTATATCGATGAAAGAATAAGAACAAATGTCTTTTCTATTAAATCAAATCGGCAATAGTCATTGGCATTTCTTGTATTTGTGTATTATAAAATTGTTCAATGTCACGTAATGTTCGTCGATCATCATCAATAACAAAATTAATTGCTACACCTTTTCGACCGAATCGACCACCACGACCAATACTATGACAAAAAAAAAAATTTTTTTTTCTCATATATTTCTTATTCAATCTTACCGATGAATATAATTCTCACGATTATTTGGTAAATCATAATTAATAACAAGACTAACTTGTTGTACATCAATACCACGTGCAAGTAAATCTGTTGTAATTAATACACGACTAGAACCTGTACGAAATTCTTTCATAATTATATCACGTTCTTTTTGATCCATATCACCATGCTAAAATTAAATTTTTTTTTTTTTTGGAAAAAAAATAGAATGATTTTAATTGATAATATTAGCGCTATATATATATATATATGTTAAGTGAAAATTAAAATCTTGTTTTTTTTTATTTACCATAGCAGATACAGTAAAATCACGTCCACGCATTTTTTCAGTTAACCAATCAACTTTTCGACGTGTATTACAAAAAATAACAGCTTGTGTTATTGTTAATGTTTCATATAAATCACAAAGTGTATCCAATTTCCATTCCTATTTTGATTATAATTAATAGAAAATATTTAGTTAAAAAAAAACCAAATTTTTTTATTTTATTCTTACTTCACGTTCGACAGTAACATAAAATTGAAGAATACCTTCAAGAGTTAATTCTTCTTTTTTAACAAGAATTTTCACTGGATTATTCATAAATTTTGATGTTACTTCAAGTACATCATTGGGCATTGTAGCTGATAGTAAAATAACTTGAACATTTTGTGGCATTGTTGTAAATACATCATAGATTTGTTCTTTAAAACCACGTGATAACATTTCATCAGCTTCATCTAATACGAACATTTTTATACTTTTACTATCTATATATAATACAAAAAAATAAATAATTAAGAAGACTATTACGAAAAAAAGAAAAACAAGACATACGAAGTGCTGATCGATTAAGCATATCATAGACACGACCGGGTGTACCAACAACAATTTGAACACCGGCTTCGAGTCGTTTTATATCATCACGAACATTTGTACCACCAATACAACCATGACATGAAACTCCCATATAATCACCCAGTGCCAATACTACCTTTTGAATCTAAAAATAATAAATAGAAAACATACAAATTAATAAATAGAATTCTTTTGTTTTTCTTCTAATATAAAAACTTTACTTGTTGGGCCAATTCTCGAGTTGGTGCCAATATTAATGCTTGACAATCCTTAAATTCCATATCAAGTTGTTGTAAAATTGCAATAACAAATGTAGCTGTTTTGCCTGTGCCTGATTGTGCTTGTGCAATTACATCGTGACCTAAAAATAACACATAGGAACAAATTTCATTTAATAAAATGAATAAAACGAACCCAAAATACATGGTTTAATAGCACGTTGTTGAATAGCTGAAGGCCGTTCAAAACCGTAACCATAGATACCACGTAAAAGTGGTTCACGTAAATTCATTTGATCGAATTGTTCGACCACTTCAGTCCAATTACTCTCGATGGTTCCATCTAGATATACATTATTTATTTGATTAAGTTTTTTTTTCTTAATATTTATTATTTACCAGGTTCCATAGACGGAACTGCAGTGTTCGATTGTTGATGAGTATCATTCCTAGAATAGAAATTAATGTTGTTTCAATATAGAGTACATAATAAAATTCATAGTTGAAATTCTAAATTTTTTTTTTAAAGGAAACTTTTCGTACTTTTCCCTAGACATTTTGTTTGATTGGTGACATAATCTATTTTAGAAGGGATAAAATAAAAGATAAGTTATATTTGTTTTCTTTTTTTTTTTTCACAAAACATGACAAAGCACAGATACACACACACACGTTTCGAGAGTCAGACAAGCATTTAATCAAAATGGCGGATGGATTATACAAAATATTCTATTGTGTTTGTGTCGAAAAGCTAGTTTACACATCAGTAGAGAGGTCAAATTTTCAATGTAGGATTTTTTTTTCCCTATTTCAAAAAAAAAACGAATATGTTCTAGTCGTTTTTTTTTCTGAAATACTTACTCCAATGGAGATTTAGTTTTATAACCGCTTGCTTTTGATTTCGTTTGATTGTCGCTCATAGATGAAGAAAAATAAAATAGTAATGCATTTCAAATGAAGAAGATCTGAAAAATAAGGAAGACAAAAATTGCTTAGCAACCACAAAACAATACGAAATAAGAATGTCTTGTCTACGAATTCTATATTATCATTCCAATAACAAATGAAATGAAATATTATATTTATAAAATGCTTACTTAGCAAATAGAATGTAAATAAAATATATAAAAAGAAAAAAAAATGATACGTATATACAGTATTTAAACAAATGTAATTTCGAAAGTTTATTAAATCAACAAATATAATGGTCGTCAAAGAAAAAAAAATTAACCAATATAAAATTCAGAAGAAGAACCATAAAAACAAATTTCTAGTGTTGTCGAGAAAGGCAAAGTCCAAAAAACATTTTCAAATCTTAAACATCATTCGCTATTTTTAAGAGACGAATTGATGCTTCGGTAATTTTTAAAAAAAATCTGTATTTTATTAGATGATGCTACAGTCAACGTTTTAAAAATATCCAATTAGATATCAGTTTCTTTACACTCATTGATTTAGAAAAGGATTCTTTTTTGCAATTTCTACTATGGCTAATACTTCGTATCGTCTTCGTTGTCAATTATATGGACATGAAGCAGATGTACGTTCTGTTTCAACAATAACTGAATATGATGGTATTGTTAGTGGATCAAGAGATAAAACAGCAAGAATTTGGCGTCCATCCGAGTATATTTATTAAAAATTTTCTTTTAAATTCAAGAACTTTTGTTTTTTATATTTAGTAAAACTTCATATGAACAACGTGTAGTATTGAAAAATCATACAAATTTTGTTATTGCAACATGTTATGTTCCACCTAGTAATGAATTTAATGATGGTCTTATTATAACAGGAGGCAATGATAAAAAAATTTGTGTTTATTCAGCTAAACAAGGAACATATTTATTTACATTAGAAGGACATGAACAAACTGGTAAAAAAACATTTTTTTTTTGTTGTTGATCATATTCATTAAATTTTATTTTTTCTTCTTTTATTAAAAGTTTCAAGTCTTTCTTATGTACCACAAAGTGATCTATTATTAAGTGGATCATGGGATCACACTGGACGTGTTTGGTCTTTATCTCGTAAACAATGTATTCAAATTCTTAGAGGTATTTATGAATATTGAAAAGAAAATTTCATTTTTTTTTCTTTTTAATTTTTTTTAATTTTTTCATACTTAAAGGTCATAGTAAAGCAGTATGGACAATTATTTCTATGGGTGATGTTACAAATAATTCAAATATTATTTTAACTGGTGCTGCTGATAATATTATTATAGGTTGGAAAAATGATACTCAATTTCAAACATATGAAGGTAAAAAAAAATAATAAAAATATTTATGTATTATAAAACAAAAACACGAATTGTTCTTTAATTTCTTTTTAATAAGGTCATACAAGTTGTGTACGATCATTAGCAGCATTAAATTCAAAAGAATTTTTATCATGTTCAAATGATTATACAATTAAACGATGGAATCTTAATTCTACACAATGTTTACAAACATATGAAGGTCATACAAATTTTGTTTATAGTATATCAATAATATCTTCGGAAAGATTTGCATCTGTAAGTGAAGATCGTTCATTACGTTTATGGTCAATTAATACAAGTGAAACAAAACAAACAATTCGATTACCATCAGGAACAGTTTGGAGTGTTTGTTCATTAACAAATCATGATGTAGTTGTTGGATGCAGGTTAATTTAAAAAAATAAAATAAATGAAAAATTTTATTAAAATATAAAAAATTTTATTTTAGTGATGGACGTATAGTTATATTTACTCAAGATCCATCACGTACAACGACAAATGAAGAAATTTCAGCATATGAACAAGAATTAGCTTCAACAACTATTCAAACAAAAACGGGTGATTTAGGAGAAGTTAAAATAGATGATTTACCAAATGAAGATGCATTAAAAAAACCTGGTATACGTGAAGGTCAAACAACAATGATAAATAAAGGTAATGGACATGTTGAAGCATATCAATGGAATATGCTTGATCAACGTTGGATGAAAATTGGTGATGTTGTTGGTTCAGCTGATAGTACAGCACAAGGGCAAGCATCAGCAACAGGTGAAAAAGTAATGTTCGAAGGACAATATTATGATTATGTATTTAATGTTGAACTTGATGATAATGTACCACTTAAACTTCCATATAATATATCAGATGATCCATGGTATGCTGCACAAGCATTTATTCATCGAAATGAATTAAATCAAATGTTTCTTGATCAAATAGCACAATTTATTATAACAAATACAAAAGGAATGGTTATTGATCAACGTGCATCAGATTTTCTGGATCCATTTACTGGTAAAAAAAATTTATTTATTTATTAATCATAATTCATATATTTATTTTTGTTTTTTTAGGTAATGGACGTTATGTTCCTGGTAGTATATCAAATATGGATACAACACGAGAACAAACTAATGATGATCCATTTATAGGTTCTGGACGTTATGTACCTAATACAAATCGAAGAGAAATAAATTCAAATGAAGATCCATTTACAGGTACTGGAAGATATATTCCAAATGATAGTAATGATCAATCAACACGACCATTATCTGCTTCACAATCATCTGTTATAAGTATATGATATTTTTTGGTAATTTTATTTTAATTATTTATAAATATTTTTTTTTTCTTATAGAAACAGATAAAGATATAGAACTTACAATAACATTTCCTCAAACTCATTATATTACAATGACAAATGCAGATATAATGAAAATTCTTGGTAAACTTAAAGATTTTAATGATAATATAACTGGTGATGGTATTCGTTTACTTGATAATCAAATACAACAAATAAATGAATTAGTTAATGGAAATACAAATAATCTTGAAACAAAAATAAATATTTTATTTCAATTACTTAAATGGCCTGTTGGTATGTAATAGATATATATATTAATTAAAAATTATCTTTCAATATAATTTTTAATTTTTAGATAAAATTTTTCCCATATTAGATATAATTCGTTTAATTATTCTTAATTCAAATGTTTGCAAATATTTTTTTGAAAATGATATTAAATCAAATGAATTTATTTCTCAACTTTTTACATATATTCAACCAGAACAATCAATTAATACAATGTTTATATTTCGTACATTAACAAATTTATTTTCAAATGATTTAGGTGAAAAATATATGATTAAAAATTATAATACAATTTTACCTAAAATTCTTATTTGTTTACCATTAACAAAAAGAAATACACAAATAGCATTAATAAATATTATTTTAAATTATTGTATTTATTCTTATCGTAGTAATGATCAACGTCTTTCGAATTATTTATATGAATGTTATCAAGAATTTGTTGATATATATTTAGAATCTGATGGTGCAAAACGTCTTATACTTGGTTTAGGTACATTATTTTGTACAAATGCTGATCTTGTTCTTAATGTACAAACAACACCTGATAATAGTGCAAAACGTTTTTTTACTGCACTTGAAAAATCAGCATCACAATTAAATGCTGATACACTTGAATGTTTAGAACGATGTCGTGCACTTATTAAAAATTTGTGAAATTGTTAAAAAAATAAAATCAAACAAATTCTTCTTCTTCTTCTTACCTTTTCTAATAAAGACAAAGTTTTAAATTTTCATTTATATCTAATCTAGATGTTTGTACGTGTAGCATCTTTTTCAACAAAAACAAAACAACATAAATTAGAACGATTACGACCACCATCACCATGGACAAATGATCTTGCTGATGAAGGAGTTGCTATTTTTATTGTACAAGCAAGTAAATTTACTAACTTGAATGAAAAATAAAACAAAAGAAAATGATTGTAATTTGTTTTAATAAAATAATTTTTTGCTTTTTTTTTAAAGAGTTTATTTTAATTATAAATACAAAAATAAAAGAATAATTTTTATTTTATATTAGTGTGCTGGTACAATCGATTTAACACATGAGGATAATGTTGATATTTCATATAAAAAAAATCTTTTACAATTTATTTATCAATGTCAGGTAGTAAAATGTTATTTATCTTTTTTTGCTTCGTAGACGAGACAAATAATTATAGGTTGAAGGTCGTTTACCAAAAAAATTAACAGAAAAATCTATTGTACAATTGCATATAACTACTGAACAAATTAAACTTATTAATACTCATCAAGTAAAAAAACAAATGATTTTATATTTTTGTTTTTTTATGATATGATTTATTAGAAATCAATTTTATCTATTCCATCACATCATATAATTGCTTGTTATTATGTTGAATATGAAACAGATCATATTGTTACAATGAAATATGGTATTATTATTTTGTTTTTTTTTGTGCATTTTAATCATATTTCTATTTTAATTTAGTTTCAACAAAAGATAAATTATCTACTATTGAATTAATTATTTTTCTATTAAATGATCGATATGAAGCTGATGAATTATGTTCATCAATGGATTTTTGTTTTCGTGCAATCTATATAGCTAATGAACAAAATTCTGATTTAAGTAAAAAATTATCATTACTTACTTTATCACTTTCATCAACTAGACAATTACGTAATTCATTTATTTCAACAACATCTTCAACACCATCAACAATTCGTTCATCATCATTAGCATCAACTTCTTCACCATGTGTTATTTCACTGGATACATCAACTATTATTAACGAAGATTCACTAACTCCACGTCGAAGACATCGGTAGAATTTGTTCGAAAAGTTTTTTTTTTTTTGAAATCTTTTATTATTTTAGACGGTCACACCATCGACATGATGATCAATCACCAAATAGATCTTCAATTAAATCAACATCACAAATTATTCATAATTATCTTCTTAATGTAAATAAAATATTATTTGTTTGTAAGTTTTTATGATGTTCTTTTTAGTTACAACTTGAATTAAAACCTGATGAATTAGCTGAATTTGGAAAATTATTAACTGAATGGCAATCAAATCAATTAAATATAAAACAATTTGTTAAACGAACAGCACGTTTATATGGGAAATCTCGAAGAAATTTACTTGATGGTAAAATGAGACTATGACATGTTAGTTTACATTATATATATTTTTTTTTGTTTGATTCTTTATTAGGTTTACATGATTTTGTACCAGTCGATGAACAAACATGGTTTCTCGAATATTTAAATAAACTCAAATCGACTTCATCAGCATTAATGAGCAGTAATGCATCATTACAAGATGTTGACACTTTCTAATGGAATTTTTCAATTTATTATTTTTTTGTAAAAAAAAAAACAAATTTTCTCTTGGAAGTTTTCAAAATAAAAGTATATTGTGATAAATAAGATATCGAAATCATGTTATTATCATTATTTATTTTTCGCTTCGTTCAACGAAAAAGAAAAAAAGAAAATATGTCGTTAACATTCTCGTGTTCATTTGAAGAATAAACTATTTTGAAAAACACACGTGTGCGTGTGAATTGTGTCTTAAAAGAATGATGACTAGTCAAGCATTTAGTCAAGGAATTCATCTAAATGAAAAATCAGATTTTAGTTTATTACGTTTGTATATTGAACAAGAAGTATCAAATGCTAGTTTACAACAACTTGTTGAAACAATTCAAAATTCAAAAGATTCCGAAGTAAGTTTTAATAGACATATATTCATGAGACAATAATTCATTTATTAATAATAGACATGTTTCTATTCATTTGTTATTCCAATTCGATTAGATAAATGTTATCAAATATCTGGTAAAGATTATTCATTTTCTCATATGTAATATTAAAACTAAATTATTTTTGTAAGATTCATTTACTGAATTTATTATTCATCAACAAAAACGTGCTATGACATTTGCTCAACAAGTATTATTATTCAATTTATTTATACTATTTTAATATCTTCATCTCATTCACGTAATTATAGATTATTTATAAGAATGTCAGAAGTCTTTGTAGTCATTCAAATCAAATTGTTATTCGATTCGTTTATGATAAATTACCACCACGACCAGAGTAAAATTTCTTTTTCGAAAAACAAAAAGCGACGAATAAATATTATTGAATAATAGATTTCGTATTTTATCAAATGCTTCACAAGCAGATTTACTTTCTCGTACACATCCTGTTCGTCTTAGTGGTACTATTATCGCATCGAGTGCTATTTTACCTTACATGTATGTTCAATATTTGTCTTATTAATATTTAAATTTATTTATTAGACGTGGGCTTAAGTATGTATGTCATAGTTTAATGTGTCCTTTAAGTGATCGAAAACGTCAAAAATTTATATTATTTGATATTGAAAATCCATATATTTGTAAAGTTGGAGAGTGAGTAAGATTAAAGAAAAAAAAAAGGAAATTACATTTTTTTTTTACAAAAAATCTATTCGTAGAACAATTTTATGTGAAGGATGTGATTTATTTCTTGATGAAGATATCAATAAACGATGGATTTCTGGTATATATTAATTCATTCATTAATAAAAATATCAATGTTGTTTTTTTTTTTCGTATAGAAAAACTTATTATTGCTGTCAAAATAAAAGAACCAGAAACACCTATTCTTTCATCAACATACAATCTTCAATGCGATACTTTATTATCAAATACACATACAATAATCATTCGTGGTAAATGAATTATGAATAGTAACATCATCAAAAACAAAAACAAACCATGTTTCTTTTAGATGAATATATTTCACATATTCGTCTTGGTGGTAAATATAATTTTATTTGTTATGCTATTTATAATCCTCATTCAAATGGAGTAGTTTTTGAAGTATAAATAATATAATAATATTTATTAATTTTATATATTATTTTTGTTTTCTATAGGCATTACATTGTGAATTAATACAAATACGCCGTCTTTCATTACCAGATTCTATTTGTCATTTACATAATAATTTTGCTCGTCATCATTCATTTAGTTTTCTTAATATTTTATCAACACTTTTTTGTCGTATGTTCTATTTTGATTGTTTTTCTATATCATAATATAAATATAGTAATTTATTTTCTAGCACATATTCGATTAGCTAAATATTGTATTCATGTAAAAATGGGTTTAATACTTAGTCTTGTATCATCTTCAATTCATATACTTATTGTTGGTAATGAAAGTCGTGTAGCTGATATACTTTGTCAAACAGCATTAAAATATACTCGAGATAGTGTTATTCATCGACAACAACATCCACTTACACTTGCATCTATTTCAAAAAATAAACATCAATCATTTATTGTTTCTGGTAAACTTTTTTTGTTTTGATATTATTTATTATTATTTTTTTTTATATAGCTGGTTCAATTGCTATTGGTGATGGTGGAATAACGTATTTGGAAAGTATTGATAGTTTAACTAAATCACAAATAAAAGAACTTCTTTCTGGTAGAGAAAACAATTCTTGATAATGATTATTATTTTTTGTTGATATAGCATTTGAAACAAAAACACTCAGTATTGAAGTGAATAGAAATGAAGAAACATCAAAAATTATTTATACGACACCATTTAATAGTAATATTTGGGCTTATCATGATAGTCGTTTATGGTTACATGCTGGTCGTGTAACAGAACCAACTAATGATTTGTCATCAGCATTAGCTGAGTAAAATTTTATTTTTATTTTCATTATAGTTTAAGATAGTATATATATTTTTTCTTTTGTTTTCAAGTGCATTCAGTCTAGTATTACCATTAGATGAAATTGAAAATGAATATGGTAAGAGAAGAGATTTTTCTATTGTCGTTTTTTTTTTGTTTATCATTCATATCTATAGAAGAAACAATTGAATATTATTTGGATTCAATGTTAAACAATGATAATCAAAATGAAATAATAGATCAACGAACTAGTCAATGGATTGATGATATTCGAAGTGTACATATAATATTTATTTTGTGATTGAATTTAAATATTGTTTTTTCCTTTTTCGAAATATAGTTTCTTGTCTATGTTCGAACAATAGAAATGCCATTGAGTCATGAAGCTGAATTTCTTTTGAAAAAATATTTTTGTGCATGTCGTCGAACAAAACGTACTTTATTTGCTTATACAGAACTTCCTGCTTCAACTACCGATGTCTTGTAAGTCAAGATATATAATCATTCTATTTGTCAATTTTTTTTTTATTTGATATAGAACAAAACTTTGTGAAGGTATAGCTAAATGTAATGTACATATTGAAGCTACTGAATCTGATATGATTCTAGCAATTTATTTATTTGAAATCTCAACAATGACTCGACTTGGTATTATTTTGTTTTCTTTTTTTTTTTTATTTCAATCTTCTGATAAGATTTTCTTTGCCATAGGTTGTGAAAATCTAGTCAATGAAAAATATCGATTACCACCTGTTCTTACTGATCCAATTTTGATTGATACTGTAAATTCAAATAATTCTATTGTTTGATGTTATTTAATTTAGTTTTTTTTGTTTAGGTCGAACAACATATGATTTTTTTCTCTCGAGAACTTGCTACGTTTTGTAATGAATATACACCATCTTCAAACTATTATTAGAGATATGAATATCAATTAGTCTGATTTTTCTGATAATGTGATATACGATACTCATTAAAAACTCTATTGATTGTGTGTGTGTTTTAGAAAATTAAACCGTGTTTATTTTTGTTACTTGTTCAAATTAAATAAATTAATAATGAAATAGGAAAAAGATTACTGTTCTATGAAAATCAGTTTAGATGTTTTTCTTGAAATTGCTAAAAGAATGTAAATGTTATTATTTTATTTTGTCGGAATGGATTTTTGAAGTTGTAAGAAACAAATGAAGTGACTATCCATAACATCAAAATCACGTAAATTTTAACGATTAGTAATTTAGATTTGAATCGAAAACACAACTAGCGGATTAATCGTGTATTTTATATTTCTGAAAGCAAAAAAAAAACTAAATTTTGATGATTTTGTTTTAAAAAGAAACTTATTTAGATAGAATACAATTTTTAAAATCGAATTTACTTAATGAAATTATAGACGGCGCGTTATATAGTATGCTAAAAGAAGATCGTTCAAGTTTTATTCTTCAAGGTTTTGAACCATCCACTGTTCGACTTAAACGTAAACTTCGTTTAATTCTCAATAAAAATCTTCGACGAGATAAAATCAGTGATAAGAATGTTACATTAAGTGAATTTATATTTTATTCAGGTTAATATTTAATTCATTTCTATATTTATTAATCTATAACATTTTAGCATTTTTTGTAATTATTATAATTATAACTATAATAAATCATATTTCTCAAGATGCATTTAATGCAGATAGATGTATTCGACGATTATTAGTTAATAAATTACAACTTGATACAGTGACAAAAACTCATGAATTTTGGCAATATTTAGATCGATTCAATGAAGAACTTTACAGTTTAAATTATTTCTTTGTTTTTTTTCCTCAAATGTTTTTCATTTATTATTTATTTAGGTAATGTCATTAAATGGAAAGAATCAACCAATAATTCTAAAGAACAATTCAATCATCAAATATTATTATCAAATGAAAATTTTATTCTTGGTATTCCTCGTCTACGTCAAATTCGTGTTGATGATACTCATTGTCAAATTATTAAAGATCTTAGTGTACGATCAATTAATTGTTATGCACCTTATCATAAATCTAAAGAATATCGAAATAAATTTACTACAATTACAGGTTCTCAATATGAATATACATCATCAAAAATAACAGCTGCATTACAATTATCAAATGCTTATGGTCCTTATGATACTGGTGGTTTTATTTATTATTTTCGTCCAACGAAAGATTTGAATGATAAAGCAATAATAAATTTAAAAAATAATGCTTGGTTAGATTTAAGTACACGAGCAATATTTATTGAATTAATCTATTTCAATCCAAATATTGAATTACTTACATCAATTAATATTGTTTTTGAATTTTTGACAACAGGTAAATAAAAAAACAAAAAAAGATAAAATTGGATTTTTTGTTTGTCTTTAGGTACAGTTCAAGTACGAGATTTTTTCTATACAGTTCCAATCAATAGCTTTTTCTTTGGTCGAAATAAATTCTTATCTTGGTCTACTTATTCTATTTACAATTTCATTCTATTTTGATATTAAATTTCTTATGTATATTTCACAAGCTTTAAAATGTCTTTCAATATCAAAAAATGATATATTCAAAGAATTAATTTATTTTATTGAAACACAAATTAATCGTATTGATTTACAAGCATATATAACAGCAGCTATTCTCATACGTTTACTTCGTTATTTACCTCATTTTTCAAATTTAATAGCAAATCTACTTGATGTCTTCTACAAATCAATAAGAAATTCACTTGGTTTTCTCTTTCTATTTTTTCTTATATTTATGTCATTTGTTATTTTTGCAACATTTCATTATGGTGATGAATTATATGAAGTAGATTTTCCAATCAACAAAATGATATGATACAAAAAAAAAATTTTTTTGTTTTTTTTTCATTTTTAGTTTCATACTTTTGCTTTAACATCTTATACACTTATTCGATGTACACTTGGTCAATTTGAATATGATCGTGCCTATCGTGTTTCACCAATATGGACTCCAGTGAGAATTTTATTATAATAAATACAATTTAATATCAAATAATTATATTTGTCTAGATTTTTTATATGATATATGTATGTGTTATATTTTTTGTTTTACTCAATTTATTAGTTGCTGTTGTTAATGAAGCTTATGTTTTGGGTAAACAAGAACAAAAACAAATTGAAGATGATCTTCAAGAAGAATATATTCATGGATCATATAATGAAGGATTAAGTGCTTTTCATCGTTCAAGACGACCAATACTTCAAGCTGCATTTATTCGACAAATAAATTATTTTCTTAATTTATTTTTTAATAAATCCTTTGATATTAATGATAATACTGAAATACGAACAGATGATTATAATGATGATGATGATGAAATATCATTAGATGAAAAACAAAATATTATTATAGAAAAATTACAAAAAATTCTTCTTAATGATGGTTATAATAAAAATATTATTGAAAAATTTTTACAACGTTTATTACTTAACAATGATGATGATGATGATATATTTCTATTTCAAATGGAAGAAAATAAAACACTTAAGATACTTTATGATGAATTTAAAATTTTTAATAATCAATATGAAAGATTAGTACAAGATTGGCAAAAAACAGCTATGAATACTCGTGAAATGATTCTTATAAATACCGTTGATATTGAACAAGCATCAATAATGAAACAACATTTAGATAGTTTAAATCAACGTATAAAAAAATTTGAAAATCTCATTCCTAAAGTACTTGAAAATATTGTTGAGCTTTATATTAATCGTTTTTCCACAGATTAAATAAGTATTAAAAAAAAAGAATTATGTTGTTGTAGGAATTGAAACTGATGTTGCTGGCACTACTGATGATGATTGTTGTGGTAATGTTGTTGAATCATTTTGTATCATTAAACTTGTAACAACTTGTTCGAAACGTTTCGATTTTAATTGTGTATTGGGTACATAAAATGGATTTGATACAGAATCAATATATGCTTGATGTAAACGTTGAAAAAGTAATTTTATATCTTGATCTTTAAGTGATATTGACGTTGAATGTTCAAAAATTAATATAAATTTAACACGTGTTGATGAAACATATCCATAACTAAAAATATTAATTATTTTATATCGTTAGTGATTGTTTAAATTATTTACATTTTATATTCTTCAACTGGATAGAGAAGACCAAGATAAAAATCTCGTGCATCTCGATCACTTGTAGGTTTAGTTAATTGATTAACTTTATCATCAAGTATATCAATTGAAGCATGAATAAGAAAAAGAAATTTAAGCTCTTCTGCTGATCGACGAAGATATATTAAATTCTATATGAACAAAAAAAAAACAAAATATGAGAATATTCTGTTTTAAAAAAAATTACTTCTTTTATTAAAACTGCCACACAACAAGCCATTGTTAAAAATGAATCTATCTATATTTTTTTCGCTCAAGAGATAAGCTACATTCACACACCACATATAAAAGTGTATGTAATTTATCCTAGTCAATTTGAACCAATCAGGTTCTCTTCCACGTTTAACTCTTTTCTGTCCAGCTTTTGATGACAATGTAAATACATCAATGATGTGCAATTTAAGTCAAAAAAAAAAATAATCCATTACAAAAAAATAAATTCTTAGTTCAATTAAGAAATCAATAAATTCACTTTTTTAAATAATTTTTTTTTGAAATCTTTTTATTTCAGTGCCGAATCGTATAGAAAGAAAAAAACTCTTTGCTATTGAGACAATGTTTTCTATTATATGACAATCTAAAGAAGTGAATAATACTCAAATAGAATTTCATTCATTTCTTTATCTATTTTCATTAACAAGATATGATTATAATCAAAGCAGTAAAATAGTATAGTTCATCATATAGGCACAATTTTGTTGGAATTGATAGTTGATAATAGGAATAAGAAATGACTGACACGATTGAGCATATTTGAGATTTCAACGGTAGATAATTCTGATAAAAAAAAATGGACGAATTTAATTCAATTCAACTTTTATACAGTGTGTAAAATAATTATGCAGACATTCTCTGATGCATTTCTCGTGAAGGAAATTTCACAATGAAAAAAGAATATTTTTCTGACTTTGACTATACCATTGTATCCAAGAGCTTGATAAGATCTGACGACGAATTTCAAGACGTCAAGATTAGGAAGAAAAATCAGTTCTGAGTATCTTATACTAAGATCTTAGGCAAGCATAAAAGTGACATCATTGATTTATTTATGTTATGAAAACTTCTTTAATTTTTTTATTACTTCTGAAACGACTAGAATAGATTGAATTTGTGAGTTAAATAATAAGAAAAATAATTTCGCGACCATTTTGATGCCTGTGTATCAATCAAATATAAGAGCTAAAAACAAAGATAGTATATAACGGCTAAACAAAGTACACTGCATAAAATATTAAAAACTTCACTGGATAAAATAATATTATGTTTTTGGAATATAAGTTGCTGTTTTTGTTAAATATTGTTCAAGGTGGCTTATTATGATCCATGCAGATATTTTATAAAGAAAAATACAAACTATTTAGCATGATTACGGCATTGCAGAAGGTATCTCAGAAACACTTTCGTGCACAGTAAAACTTCAAATATTTGTATTTCTATTACACGATTTCCTTCATCTGTATTGATCTTTTTGACACGAGTAAAATGAATTTGCGTTACACATATCACTAGTTGCTAATCAAAACCAATACGACTTGGATTATTGAATAATACTTACGGATCTTTTTTGCTTGGTGTAAGAGCAACACTGATCGTTCTATTTTGATCATTTCTTGATTCCAGAGGAAAAAATATTCTTAAATAAAACATCGACTTAAAACGCAGATTCATATGTGGGCATGTGTCTGTCATATAGATGTTCCGAAAACCCGTTTATATCCTCAACATTCTTTTATGAGACTGACATCTTTTTTTTCTAGATAATTATTTGTGATCACTTTTCAGATAACCAAGGCGAACATACTCGATAGAGAACTTTCTAGAGGTTAGTTTGACTGCTGATACATTAGTCCTTACATGGTCGAACAATATCCTTATATAATTTAATTTTTTTCTCTGGGATTTTTGTTATATAATATTTTATGGATTACTCAAAAACAATATGAAAAATGATGTATTAATCCAAATGAAGTTGAACTTGCCCATTTATATTATTTACCTAAGGCACATAAGCCTGGTACTCCTCTTCGTCCAATTATATCGGGTCTCGAACATCCTACAATTAAAATATCCAAATTTCTCGATGAATTACTTCGTCCTTTATTTGATAAAATGGCTTCAAATACAATTGTAACTTCTGGTTTTCAACTAGTAAAACAGTTACAAGAATGGTCGAAAAATAATATGCGTCAAGAAAGTTTATTTTGTACAGTCGATGTAGCAGACCTTTATACAATGGCACCCCAAACTGAAGGAGTACTCTCATTGAAGAAAATGTTAGATTATTTAAGATTAAAACAAGTTGGTGGTCTTAAAATTGAAACAATAATTAGATTAAGTCGATTTGTTATGCAAAATAATTATTTTCCTTATGATGGTCAGTTCTATCATCAAGTTCGTGGAGGAGCAATGGGTTCTCCTCTTACTTTAACTATTGCTAATTGCTATATGATCTTCTATGAAAGGCCAATAATTAAACAGATTAATAATAGTGGTGGATTATATTTTCGATATACTGATGATATTTTTCTAGCAACAAATTGGCCTCCTCGACATTTACTTAAACAAATCGACAGATGGAATCATTTTGATGAAAATATTAAATTATCAGAAAATATGGGTTCAATAGCTGATTTTCCTGATCTACATATAGAAAACCGGGCTGCTCAATTATATACTACAATTTATCAAAAGCCATCATATGAACCATATTATTTGCCTTTCAATAGCATTCATCCATTGCATATGAAAAAGAATGTAGTATTTACTATGTTATTTCGTGCTATTAGGTACTGTTCAACATTTCAGCACTATCTGGATGAACGTGAAAAATTAAGAATGGCACTTTTATTAAATAAATATCCAAATAAGTTTACAGATGAACAATTTAATAATTTATTGTCAAAATTAAATATTATTCAACCATTAACCTGTAATAATTATGCTAATTATCGTCAAAAAGTTATAGATTTTCCAATAAAAGAAAAAATATCGGTTGATTATGGAAAGACAATATTCGTACATTTTACATACTGTTCAAGTATGAGAACATTTCCAATAAAATTTCATGCTCTCTGGAACAAATATTTTGGTGAATCTCCAATTAATGAAGTATTACCTATCCTTGGTATACGTAATGCTAAAAATTTACAACGGCAATTAATCTATACAAGATAAATTATTTCGTTCTGCCACACTCGTTTTGAATAAATTTATAGGCGATAAATTTGGTTTTGGTCTGGCACACATAGCTTATATGTTTTGACCTATTTATACAAATTAATATTACACACATGGCTGTATACGTTGTGATGCATAGCTATTTATTTGTTTTAACTTAATATTTGTAGTCTAAGTTTACACATATTTTATTTTTTATTTTGTATTTTATTATTGTTTATTTATTATTTATATGTTTTGATTTAATATACACTACATGTACCCATTTATTTTATTTGGTTCAATTTAATATATTTGTCCCAGGCTTATATTAGCAGAGGTCTTTTGTTTTTATTAATATAAATTTAATATACGTAGTATATGTTTGTTTATTTTGTATTATTTATCTGTTTTGATTAATTTTAATACACATAATATGTGTTTATTTATTTAAATATTTGTTCTTAAATTGGTATATGTGGTTTATTTTATTCTTTGGTCTTGGGATTACCTGAATTAAAATTTGGAAATAAATTTATAATTAGTTGAGTATTTGAAAAATAAATGGTATGACTTATAATCTATAGAACTGATATCTTATCCTTACTGACTATATCCTCAGAAACAAATAAGTGATATTAATATTATTATTTAAATTAATACTTAATTGAAAATTTGGTCTTCTAAAATTATAGACCTTATTTTACCCGTCTATATCCTCAAAGACAAATAAGTGATGTTAATATTATTTAAATTGGTAACTTTGGTCATGAGAATATGTTACCAATGTTATCCTCATCGACGTGGAAGGCGACCGAAATCAAATATGTACCTTCATTTATATATGTAGTTTGGAGATTGATTGTTACATTATATTATTTTTCTTCGGATTATTTTAGTTAAGAATTTGAAAATGAGTGATATTACTTATTATTTACAGAAATCATATGGTATCCCCTTTGTCTATCTCTCAAAGACAAACAAGTGATATTATGAAGAATTTATAAAACATATATTTTAAATTGTCCCTTATCATTCGCATCGTATCGGAGACGACCAAAATCAATGAATTCTGTCGTCCACCTAACATACAAACAACTGAATGAGAGAAATTATGGCTTCTCAATAATTTGCAATATAAATCGTAGTATTTGTTATTTGGAACTACATCAAATTTATTTGCCATTTTGAAGCATACCAAGTTTATATGTTTTATGACTAATTTTGGTGATGTTCAAAAATAAGATATAATAGATATTTAATTAATAAAGAACGGTTAAATTACAAACATATTAGACAAAATTAATTCTATTTGCAACGTGAATACATCGCCCGAACATCTGTTTCTATTTAATTCCTTCAAGCAAAACTTATTGTTTAATTTCATCAAGTAAAATTTATTGTTTAATTTCATCAAGCAAAATTTATTTCTATATCTAATTATTAGCTAAGATGGCTAGCTGATTATTCAGCTTTAATTCAAATTTTAAAACATGCTTGTAGTTTGCTTTTCAAATTAGTTACAATCTTGGTCTAGATTTATGGATTCATTTTGTTTAATATTATTTATTATATATTTTAATTTCAATTCCGTTCTTTCTTTGCAGTTTTCAAATTATGATTTCCTTTACTTTGATAACATCAATACTACCGTACATTTCATAATGGATACAATACTAATAGTCTTATCGAACTTATTAAATAATTTCATCAAGCACAATTTATTGAACAATTTTCTTAAAATTCTTTTATTACCCGATTGCCGATATTTATCAAGCAAAATTTACTGATTAACCGATTGATAAGAGTTAAAATACCAGTATAGCAAAATTAATCGTGTTGCATGGTTGGCAAACGTAATCAAATAATATTTTCATTGTCTATACCTTCAAAGACAAATAAGTGATATAATACAGAATTTATAAAATATATACGCTGATAGATACAAGGGCGTATTGATTAATACAATCCACAGAGGTATCTTCATCCCGTTTTATTTAAAGATTTTTTGTCCTTGTAAAAAATTGTTTTTCTCTGGCCTCCTGAATTTTAATTAATAAGTTTTCCCCTTGTTTTATGTTCATATGATTTGGTTTAACTTGAGTTATGATTTTTATTTTTTATTTTGATTGCTTTTTGTTTTCTTCCAGTTTTACTTTTAATTCTGTTTTGAATTTCTACTTTTTGCTTTTTGCTTATGCTTAAAAAATTATAATGCAGAGCCCTGATGAATGTTTTATTATTAAAATAAATAACATGAAACGTATCGGCGAAAATAATCTGCATTTCTTTTAAATTAATTTTTATTCAAGCATATTTATTTATATTTATTTCATTCTAATTTAATTTTCGACAGGAAATCGATTGCTGAAAAGCAAGAGTTGAGGCTAGCAGATTGATTTGTATTATAGAAATATGAGTTTATCTGTTTTTCAATTGATTTAAGTAATTCATAGCTTTTTTACTTACAAATTCCACCATTTTTACCATCAAGATATTTATGCTGCTTCAAGTCTTCATTCCACACTTTCACTCGATCTAATCATTGACATAGATTCTTACATTTTCTTTCATGTATAAATATTTAACTATAATTATCTCAAAACATCATAAATCAGTCAACAATTTCATATGTTTTACGCTGCTTCAGATAGACTTTAAATCAATAGCATTCCCATACTCATTCGTACCAAATTCAGATACACGATCATTTCTGTTCCTTTATCATCAAACCACTAAATACAACTGTTCAATCAAATTAACAGTACTATCCTCATAAAACAAAAAAAAAATACTAAACCTCAGCAAAACAAAACTATCATATTTTGTCTCTGCTTTCTTTTCTTAGAAAAATTCATATAAACTGTTCGCAAAAATTAAAAACTAATTAAAATCTTTTTATTAAATTCTGTACACTGTCTATAGACTAATTCCCTACAGTGTTCTCATTTCATTCTGCAGAATTTGATAAAAAATATTTAAAATCCTAAAAAAAATGAATATCATATCAATTACTTCTAAAAAAGAAAATATATGCTTCATAATTTGTACTGGGTACATCGTGTTTCACATTTTTAATCCCTCAAGGAATTGTGCTAACAGCTGTTATTCATTTTTCATCTTTTTTTATTCTCAAAACCAATCGATTGATAAAGCTGATGGAATAGATGATTTCTTTCATATCTCATCTAGGTTTTTCGTTGTTTTAAATGTGTTCGATCAGTGACCATCGTGAGATTGGCGTATGGGTCTCTGAAAACAATCATCCACGGTCAAATACGTCGACGTGCTCGATCATAATATGGTTAAGGATAAAACGGCGAAAAGCAGTTGTTTACAACCGTATTATATCGTGCGTGGTCATTGAAGACCATACTTATTCAACGTGGTATATTTGAAAATTTCCAGTCTTTTTTTTCGGTGTTTTGCCATTTAGATGGATGAATTACTGACATTTTTTTCTAACTTGATTTATTGTATACGCCATACTCTTATGCGAGCCTTTCTCGAAATTTTCTAGCACGTGACAAACGATGGATAGATTGAAATTATGATGTTTTTTTGTAAACCTTGCATATTCGAACGAATATTCATATGCGTCAAAGAGTATACTAGTTCTATGCATGACTGCGTTCGACGAGCGTGCATAGATTGATAATATTTATTTTGCTTATTTCTTATTTCAGCTGATTCATTTCACATCATTACAAAGGGTATGGTCATGCTTCGTGAAATATTTGCATGATAAGGTGAAAACGACGATTCATTTTTCTCACTCTCACCTACTGTGATGCTTCAACTGGCTTCTCTTCCTTCGTCAGATAAAGATAGAGCGATCATATACATTTTTTAGTCTCTCCAGTACGCACATATATCCGCTGTATGTGGCTTAAATCAGAAAAATCGATTGACACAACTCTAGCTATGCCTTGCTCCACTCTGTATCATTACGCTCTTGATTGATTCGGACTTTGCAACAGCACTGGACCGAAAAAAAAATAGAGAGACACACTTTTTTCCCTTTAGCAGCATTGTTTCTCTTATCTTCACATTCTCGCACCTTTCAACATCTCAATACATCGAACACTGATGTATCTAATTTCTTCTATTGTCTTTTTACTTGTTAGATTTGACAAACATTTATCCAAAACAAATATCAATTATAATGAAATTCATCACAACTATCATCTTATTCGCTACGAGTGAGTGAACTGAAAACTCGATCTGTAGCTTAGAGATATTGTCATTTTTTTTTCTTCTGCAGTTATCGTTCCAATAACAGCACTTACTTGCAACATATGTTCTTTCAATGGTGGTAGTACTAGCTGCAGCATGACGAGTGTGGCCAACGACTCTTTTGTTAAGTGTACGGTAAGGAAAGTTCTTCTCAGTTCCATAATGGCACACGGAAAAGATTTTGTTTTTATATATCTTCTAGACAATTCCTGTCTCGTGTAGCGGATCGGGTATCACAGTCACAGGAACAGTCTTAGATGGTGCGGTTGAGGCAGCAGGGTGTGGAATGCCATATTCGTTGGGACCAATTAACATGAATGGTGTATCAGTGTTATGTACGGGCACATACAGCTGCTGTGACACGAACAATTGCAACACGTGTCCAAGTGGTGGATGTAGTATGACTGCCACCAGTGTTGGAGCAGTCCTGCATAGTACTGTGGCTTTAATATTTCTTAGTATCATTCTTTGCGGGCTCATCCATTAATTTCTAGAAGACAATCTCGTTTCTTTTTCGCTTTTTACCTTAACCATTGCTCACATCAAACTTTACTTTTACATCATTTTATCAAATAAAAAAATAATAAACTATTTCTAGATCATTGTTGTCGTAGTTTGAACATCTCTAGCGAAGATAATTTGCAAAAAGAAAGAATGACAGATATGAAAAATCAAGTGGACAATTAGACAGACAGAGTTATTTTCAAATCTTCCACAATATATTTCGCAGTTCAACCAAATTGATGTTTGATTTGCAGAAATTTGATGAAAAGGATCTGGTGATGTCATCACAACTACACCAAAGTTTTTTTGGTTGACATTCAGATGAATGAATAAGTCATATGCTTTCTGATCGTGATATCAAAGGTGTACTATATAGTAGATGAAAAAATCGGTGCTAATCATTATTATTGTCATTTAAAAAACGATATTCTACGACAACAGTATTATGATGCTATGCAAGAACAAAAATCAGGGTGTGGGTGTGGAGAAGAGAAAGACTAAAATTCACACCTACACCGACACCCACCCCCACACCCTAAAAATTTAGAAATGAATGATATGATTTATAATTAATTGAAAATTTAAAAATGAATACCTTATTTTTATTGACTATGTCTTCAAAGACAAATAAGTGATATTTATATATTTATTATAATATTTATATGGTCTAATCTGATGCGCATGGCTTATGATTATTTTAATTTTTAAAGCTTGATACATATGTTCACATATGTTTAGGAACATATTTCATTAACTTATACAATTGGGATATGATCTGTCAAAAAGAATGTTAATTCAATAAGAATATTGATTTCATATATACGGTATAGCTTATATTGGATACGCGTATTTTACTATGTCTTATTAGTATTACTTATTTTGGATATTAGACTAGGCAAGCGTATCTTGTGGTTATTTATATCTGGAGCATATTTTATTAATTATGTTAGAGGTTTATTTGCCTACACGTTAATCAATCGGACTCTCTTATATATTTATATCTAAATAGATTGTTAAAGAATTCCATTGAGTGAACATTTGAATATCCGTCAACTAAACGTCGAGTTATTCAATATAATGGAAGGTGCTGGTTTTGAGTGATATTAATATATATTATTATTAACTTGATTTCATAAACGTGACTTATGCTCATTTGTACAAATATAGATTGTTAACTTGATTGGCCTACTGTTTATACATTTTGATTCCATATACGTGATTTATTTTCATTTGAATAAATATAGATTTGATACATGTGATGCATGCAAATTACTTTGATCTAGCAATCTTCATTTGTCGATTAGCAATTAGCCCTGTTTATAATATTATGAACCAATTGATATCTTCGATATAAATAGACGATATTAAGCTTCTGATCAATAGCTCATGATACACGTAATACAAACTCAATTTAAATTGGTATTGTATGGCTTGGACGTTTTTGATTTGATACATGGAAATTACAAAATAAATATTATTTCCCTGATTGGTGTTTAACTACCCATGCCATATTTGAGATAATTGGAATTAAATAATTGAAATCAGACATTATCTACTTATATCTCCAGAGACAAATAAGTGATATTATTCTGTAAAATGCTACCACTTAAACAAGAGAAACTAGAAATTGAAATCCCATATTATCCATCTATATCTTCAGAGACAAATAAGTGATATTATTTTTTAGAATGCTACCATTTCTTTTCCGACTGTTTCCTGCTGTCTCCTTTAAGTTGTTAATTTTTTTTTACTTTTTATTTTTATCATTAATTTGAAATCCATTCTTGCTTCTTATTGTAAATGCAGAGCCCTGAAGAGTCTTTTATTATTTAAATAAATAACACGAAACGTGTCGACGAAAATAATATGCATTTCTTTTAAATTAATTTTTATTCAACCATATTTATTTATATTTATTTCACTCTAATTTAATTTTTGACAGGAAATCGATTGCTGAAAAGCAAGAGTTGAGACTAAAAGATTGATTTTCACTATAGAAATATAAGTCGATCTGTTTTCCAATTGATTTACGTACACCCACACCCGCCTCACACCGATACCCACACCCTCTGCTCCCTCATGTCGATATTGACGAAGCAAACAGGTATTGTTTCTTCTCTGGTCCTAATATTTTAATATAATCGCTCGTTTGCGTGAGTATTTGCTTTCTATCATGGGCGCATTGATTCGTCTAAAAGGGCACAAAAACAATTATACAGATAGAGTAGGAGAAAAAAGCACATTATTTTTATCTTTTTCTGTTCTGCCAAGTGAATATCCTACTCAAAGAAGCACAATTTTGGGTTAATGTGGGTGCGGGTGTGTTGTGAATATCATGAGGAACTCTACACATTACCCACATCCACATACAGACCCCACACTCACTCCCACTCCCACACGCGTTGATGTCGATGGGAATACGTTTCTTTTTTCCTTTTAGGTCAATCATGATTTCGTATCGTTTAATTGGTTTTGATATATTTCGTGAAGTATTTCCTGACATAAGTATGAAATTGTGTAAAGAGCGTTATAATGCATTTCAGAAGGCTATAGAAGAAATGAAATGGACACCAGAAAACGATTTAGATCTCGCTGCATTTCTGGCACATGTTGCTCATGAAACAGATGGTTTGAAGACGTTACGGGAAGATGGCAAACAAGATGAGTTATCTAAGTATCAACGTAATCAGTGGGGCCCAGCTATTCTGCCATATGACGGCAAAACTTATTATGGGCGTGGATGGCTTCAATTATCCTATCCGGCTAATTATAAGAAGGCCGGGGAGGGAATACGATTACGAGACCCTGATCATTTATGGAAAAATCCAGAGTTAGTTGAAGAAGATCAGGTAATTGCATGTAAAACAGCCATTTGGTTTTGGACATTTAACCAAATGGGCCCGCTAGCGGCAAAGGGTGAGTTTGGCAAAACAACAAAAATATTGAATCCATCGGAATGTGAGCCCGGCGATACAAGACAAAAAAGAAGAGTTGATCATTATAAGCGGGTACGACGCGCGCTTCACTGTGAACCTGAAGAAAATGAACGCAAGTTTTTTTGTTTTTCATAAACAACCTATTTGTTGTGCATATAAAACGTCTGTTTTTGAAGTATGAGTATGCATTTTTACCATTATTCACGTTTTCATAATAAACAAAACTTAAGCTTTTATTGTAAATGGAAATTTGAAAATAAGTTAAGTTAGTCGTGTTCATCTTTCGAGATTTTCTCATGAAAGTTAAAAGTGGCAACTGTTTCTGTGTATGAACTTTGCTACGATTGCTTTGCTTACGAGAACAGATACTATCAACAAAGGGTGTGGATGTGGGGTGTGGGTATGGGTATGGGTGTGAGTGCGGGTGGAGTGTGGGTGTGGGGTGTGCGTGGGTATGACTGTGGCTGGGATGTGGGTGTGAGTATTTCCGTAAGCCGGCCACACCCACACTCACACCCACATCATGCGTGCCCGTTTTCACCAAGCGCCTTTATCCTGTAGCAATGATGCTATTTATGGATGATTCCCAATTGCCGTTCTGCTAGTTTTGCGACAACTTCAGCGAGGAGTCTCAATTCTTTTGGCTATATTTCAGCGTTTCTTCAGCTGAGTCTCGACTATGTGTTGTTTCTTTTGAACGCTGGAAAAACTAACCGACGACAGTTGGGTGTGGGGTGGGTGTGTGGGTGGGGTGTGGGGTGAGTGTGTGGGTGGGGTGTGGGGTGGGTGTGTGGGTGGGGTGTGGGTGTGGGTGTGGGTGTGGGTGTGGTGGTGGGATGGGTGCGGGTGTTCACTTCTTTTTATCCACACCCACACCCACACCCACACCCACACCCACATCCGCACCCACACTCACACCCACACCCACCCTTTCCATGAACATCCTTTTGTTTCATTATGACAAATAATATTTGTTAAAATATTTAAATCATTTTCGGCTGCAAAATCAGGATAAATCTTAATGAAAGAATAGTGTATAAATATTATTTTTTCTTCGATTTTTTTATTATTTACTTCATTGTTTTTGATCATTTGATCACAATTATTTGCAGAACATATTGCTGGTGATTGACTTCTAAACAAAAAAAATAATTTAAACGAAAGAAATTCCATATATAAAACATACTCGATCATTTTTTCAATACAATAAGAACAGTATCGATGACCACATGTACTAAATTTTGGTTCAACAACTAAATGATGACATGATGAACATATAAATTCATTTGAAATTGTTGAAATTGTGTTCAATGATTTATCGTCTTAAAAATGAAGATGAAAATATATAGAAAGTTCATTTTTTTTATTGCAAGCTTTCAACACAAACTTGTGTCATCATCAGGCAATTATGACAATTTTTACAAGAATTCGAGAACATATAGAACAAAAAATTTTTTTTATGATTCATCTGTCTTTTCATTTGAAGTTATCTAACTAACCATAATTTTGAGATTCATTCAGAAAATATTATTATTGAATGAAATTTCATTCAAAGCCCAATGTGTGAACTTTTTTGTGAGAAGTGTTTCTTTGATTTCACGCTTTCGTTCATTTGAATCATATGCTAATATGTTTGGTTCTTCAAAATTGAAACTATGATTCATTTTTTCCGAATGTTCTACCATAGTTGACGATTGATCATTCTTTAATTGATATTTATCTTTATGTTGTTTGATTCTTACATCGATGTCTTTTCCTGTTTGCCCTACATAAATTTTCTCACAGTTTTTACATTCAATGCAATAAATAACACCTATTTTCTTTGAATTTTTTCCTTTCATTTTTTCCCTGAATTGTTGTCCTATTGTTTTATATTTTTTGAAGATGATTCTGGTATTAATTTTAGTTGAACTAATGATTCTCATTAATTTTCTACTAAACCAAGATGACTCATGACCAATATAGCTTAAAATTAAATTAATTTTATCTTCATTGTTATCTGATGTTGAATTAATCCTATTGCTATTTTGATCTTGTTGTTTCTGTTTCTGTTTTTGTTTTTCTTTACATATGGCATTTTTGGGTGTGGGTGTGGGGTGGGTGTGGTGGCGGGTGTGGGTGTGGGTGTGTGGGTGTGGGTGTGGGTGTGGGTGTGGGTGTGGGTGTGGTGGTGGGGTGGGTGCGGGTGTTCACTTCTTTTTATCCACACCCACACCCACATCCGCACCCACACTCACACCCACACCTACACCCACACCCACCCTTTCCATGAACATCCTTTTGTTTCATTATGACAAATAATATTTGTTAAAATATTTAAATCATTTTCGGCTGCAAAATCAGGATAAATCTTAATGAAAGAATAGTATATAAATATTATTTTTTCTTCGATTTTTTTATTATTTACTTCATTGTTTTTGATCATTTGATCACAATTATTTGCAGAACATATTGCTGGTGATTGACTTCTAAACAAAAAAAAAATAATTTAAACGAAAGAAATTCCATATATAAAACATACTCGATCATTTTTTCAATACAATAAGAACAGTATCGATGACCACATGTACTAAATTTTGGTTCAACAACTAAATGATGACATGATGAACATATAAATTCATTTGAAATTGTTGAAGTTGTGTTCAATGATTTATCGTTGATATTAGAAATTTTAAACAAATATTTGCTGAGGTTATGACTTCAATAGAAAATTGTTTTTTTTTCTTAAATAGAAGAATAATTATAAAATTCAACCGTCCATTTTTATGTAATTAAGCCTCCTTTATGGATAACACGATTAATTCGCTAGCTGCTAAATGACGTCATTTTTCATCCAATTTGAAGATCGATGAATTGGATCCACAGAAGTGAATCTTGACCGAAAGCTTTTTTTTCTATTGGTTTATAAGATTAACAAGTAGAACAAGTAAAATTGTCGCTATATGTCATTTGCTAGAAATACATTTGTATAGAGGGTGGGTGTGGGTGTGGTTGTGGGTGTGGGGTGTGGGTGTGGGTGGGTGTGGGTGTTTTTCTCTATTAAGTCACACCCCACACCCTAAAAAATTATTAAAATCAAATGAAATCTATTTTTAAACTTAAAATGAACTTGTTTCAAAGAAAAGATTTTTATATGACTTGGATAATTAAAAAAAAGTGAAATAAGAGATAATTCTTACCACTCGTAGACCTATTGAAGAGTATCGATAAGCGACGATTATTCCAAAACTGTAGAAAGCTATTGAAATAATACTTTGACCCAATTGTACACCACGATGAGTCTCTTTTGTATCATGCTGAGAAATGTATTCAAAAATTACATGAATCGTATTAATCAAACAGAGACCCTAAAAGATTAATATATAATATCAATGTAAGACAGATTCTTCAAATATATAGATATATATGGATCAATGTTGAAAAGTTCTCCAAGAGTATGAATATTGTTTGTGAGAAACTGCTATGAATTTAGTCAGATAATTAAATAATTTGATTTAGTCAAATTATCTTTAGATTAGTACGACACAAATTAATATTCGTGTTCATATTAGCACATGAAGATCATTTTGTATTAATTTGAATAGATCTCTTCTGTTATCTCAAATTATGTTAGATTTCAATCAGATATTACTTCGAAAAAGAATCTTCTTCTCAAGTTTTTAATTTTGCAACAAGTTGAATAATGTATTTCTTCTTTTTATAAATAAATACTCTCTCAACGTTTTTTATTGTAAAACTGAAGTAAAAGATAATTTGTGTGAAAAAAAAAATAGTCGACAATAATTCAATATATTTTTCGTCATTATTGTTGAATCATAATCATAAGAAAACTAAAAACTCACAAGACATACGCCAAGTATGATTAAAAGGATTTTACGAGTTCGTTGTACTTCACGATTTTGAGTTAGTTGCAATGGTTTAGAAATAGGTGTGCTATGAGCATCCATCATATTCACTTTTTCGCTGTCGTGTTCGTATTGCATTTTGATGATGTACACTTTAATCTTGAAAGTAAGTTCGAGGAGGATACAGAGATAACGTTTGTAACAATGAGAGAAAAAAAATGAGGTGTTTTCTACCTTTCAGTCGGTTAAATATTATATAGAACAACGAAAAAACAACAAGTCTGTATTTCTCGCGTCAGCTCCTTTCTATGCACAAAAACAACACGAAAAAAAAAGAACTGAAGTCATGAGTAATATTCTCTATAAAAATAAATAAATAATTAATAATTATCAACGTCATTAGAGAATACTAACATTTACCATACTCAGAAAAAACAAAAAGAATACTACTTGAATTTCAATCATTTTATGAAACGATTGAAAATATTTTTTGCCTCTTTAAGGAGTTTTTTCTTGATTTTAATGCAGCATGATATACAATAACACTGACTATTTAAACGTATTCATGTATAAATGAATACCTTCAATTAACAAATCTATATATTTCAAGTATTTAATTCTGTAAGAATATACGTAAGTAAAATTTGAACAATAACAATAATATATTTAAGTCAATGACATTTTTTGTTGTTCTAATTTTTTCCAACAGTTATTGTTTGTTAGATTCATGGTCACAAATGATATCTTATTGCTGATGATGATCGTACTCATAATGGTCGAGAATTTCATAGTTATTAAATTAAAGTGCATTTTATTTACTTCGATATACTTTGTTCTTGAAATACACTCTATCGGTTTATGGAAATGGACAGAAAATTAAAAAAGACATACACGAAATAGTGATAATTATCGACCTATAATGTGTGCACCTCATTATAGTGTCATTGGTTTGATATTATTTATTTCCTAACTAACAATAGACAAATAGTGAATTAGAAGGATTTGGTTCCAAAGAGACAAGACGAATTAGAACTGAATCAAGAAAAGTGATTGGTGTAATATTTTAAACACACTTAAACCATCCATCCTTTCCAAACAATTTGATTTTTAATGCATCAATCTAATCACCGCTCAATTGAACCGAACAATGAAACATGTATAAATAAATAGATAGATGAATAAAAATGACATTGCTAGAATATGTTGAATATTTCGAAATAGTATACTAGATTTATTAAATCTTGTAAAGCATCTCTGGGTAAATAAATATTAATACAACCCAGTCAGACAAAATCAACATAAAAAATGGGTCAAAAATAAACACGTTCAAATCGTAAAAACCGCACATTTTAACGCTTTACGTATGCGTTATAATTTTGAAACGAGTTTTTACAACGACGGATAGTTTAACGCGTTAAAATGTGCTGTTTTTACGAATTTTTTTTGTTTCATATTTTAAATACGTTTTTATATGTTTCATTTCTGAATGAAGCAAATTCTATAAGGTAAAAAGATAACTCAATACTTTACGGTTACTTGAGAGCTAGTTACGACTATATTTTCTAACTAAATATTAAACTGTTTCCTAGTTATGATTCTATGATCGCAATAAAATCGAAATGACAACACATGGGTATCGTGGATAGCAAAAAAAGAAAAAACTGATATAGTTGATGACATTAGATCAATTGCTCATATGACTAAATTGTCTAAGACGATGTAAAGGAAAGACAAAGAATATAAAGTCAATTAAAGTATCGAACTCATCTCTTATTCTTTACGCAAGAATATTTCTCAATTGGCTATACGTATCCCATCTCGACTTAAAAAAGAAGAAAATTTGTTTGCATAAGAAGGATATTTCTGTGCAATCATCAATGTAATAGATTATAAAGCAAAGAATAATATCATGAACACGCTCGTATGAAAGAAATCTACGAAAAAAATAAATAAGCATCAAAAAGAATGAATTTGAACGAAAAAATTCCCAAGCAGGCAAACATGCCACTTTTTATACTAATTTGGTCTTTAAAAAAGTGTGTATTATTTGGTATTTAGCTTGTTCTATTTATACAGATTTTTTGCATCAAAATTTTTTATGTCAAAAAACAGCCAACTTTTTCCCCAGAAAAATTGAGGGTGTGGGTGTGGGTGTACATTTAGAAGTTTCCTTTACTCACACCCACACCCACAGACCCACACCCACACCCACACCCACAGACCCACACCCACACCCACGCCCACACTCATACTCCACACCCACGCCCCACACCCACACTCATACCCCACACCCACACCCACCCACACCCACACCCTCACCGTAAGGTATTTTGCAAGCAATGGCAAGAGCCTGAACAATAGCTGACATCCATTGATCAACTTTAGTTTTTGAATGGCATAAATTCATAAACAGTCAATCTCGTTACTTTGGAAAAATTAAGATACACTATGTTTTCAGTAGGAATTTGACGACATATTCTATAATATTCGGCAATGGCTATAGAAATACAGAAAACATAGGATAATTTTAGCTTCTTTGTCTATGGCCAACTCCTCTCCCTTCAAGATA